TGATAGTATTTTTTCACTTCAAGAAATGTAAAGATTACGAATAATAATAACGAGTAATTAGATGTAAAGTAATTCTTTGTTGACTGTTCTGATCAATTTTACTAACCAACACGCATTTTTGTAAATGTCCGGCAAGCAAAATGCCCGGAGTTTTTGACATGTAAGTTCTAGTTTTGAAAATGTTCATGTGACAACTGTAAAATAAGAGATCAATATATTCAAGCGAATTTCCTACACAGCGAGAAAATCTGTTGCGAACGTTAATTCTATATCATAAGGACAAATTCCATTCGTAAATATAGAGATCATAATTATTTGCAGGTGTAACAAATGCTTATTATTTTTTGTACTCGCTATAAAAATTATTCGCAAGAAATGCAAAATATTGGTCAAATATGCAAATTTGTTTTGCTATAAACAGCAAACAAATTTGACAATTAAATTTTGCAATCCATCTTCGTTCATAGCATCATTTTTCTCCATGTATATTTTGTTATAAACATACAAAATATAGGAACACATACCAAATTGTGTATTCCAACCAATATATTCATTAAAATATAATTGTATCTAAAGAACTTCCGGAATGTTGAATTAATTTATTGGCGAAACGAAAGTTGACGCGTGAATCGGCTGATACATCGCGGAAATAATGTTTCGCACGTATAAGTTGCTGCCGACGCGACGACATATGTGATAAAAGCGACGCGCAAATACGAAATATAGAAGGAGATAAAGTTTTCCTCTCGGTTCTCCCTCGTCTTAGCTCGTACTTGGACGTCGGAAACCGGGGTTGCTCTGTCGCGCATTCATACGTTCTTGCGTTTCCACGTAGCGTATCGATATCCAGGGAAATTTTTTATTCTTCGTTCGCACGAAAAAGAGATCGCAAGAGGGAGGAAGTTAATCACGCGCTATCGTGGTGAATTCGGTAGCCGCGCGGGAGGGACGCTGTCGTGAGGAAAATGGGAAATGTGGAAAGGCGATCTCTCGACGACGGTGGACCGGTGGTGGAACGCGGGGGAAAAGAGTAGGGAAAAAGAAGCAGATCGTTCAGGTATAGGAAAAGGAAAAAGTCGCGGGAAACGATAATTTCGCGGAGGAGCTGAGTTGCGAGCGCGAGCCGAGGATTAATTTAAATATTGACATGACCCTGCTGAGACGGCCATGCTCGGCGGAGCGTCGCTAAACGCTCGTTCAATTTGCGCGTCGCCCTTCTTCCGCTTCTTCGAGGCACCGGCATAAATCAACATACGCGTACGCCGTTAAAACGCTTTTAACCGAAATAGCCGCCGATTTCGTCGACAGCCAGGT